TGCTCCGTCGCTGCCCGCCCGCGCTGTTCCCCACAATGCCCAAGTCTACTCTACGCCGAATGCCATTCTCATCCACCTCCCACAAAAGGTTCTCATCGAAGTCGATCCCCGCATCGAGGAGGATGTTGTGGAGAGTGCACACGGCCACGGATTGCTATGGCAAGGTCTCCAGGTTCGTCTTGTGGGTGCGCAAGAACAAACGCCACATGCACTTCAGTCGCCCGAATGCCCTCTCCACACACCCCCACGCCACCTTCTGCCGCGTGTCGAAGCGCTCCTCGTCAGGATCTTGGTCGATTCCTCCGTACGGCTGCACGATCCATGGACAGGCAACTGGATAACCGTTGTCGCCTAGCAGGTAACCTCGCGTGACGACACCGTGCGGCAGATTCTCCGGAGGTGCGTCGAACAGCTCGCCAGCTTCTGCACGCCTCCACAACTGGGAATTGTGCAAGACACGGACATCGTGCACACTTCCCGGGTATCTGATGTGGACGTCGAGGATCCGCAGATCCAAATCCACCACCACCTGCGCCTGCACGGAGAACTTCTGTTTGTGGTCGTAGTAGTTGTGTGAAGGTGTGTCGGCGGGCTTGTCAATGTAGATGTGTGTACAGTCGATCGCGCCGAAGCAGTTCAGGAAACCCTTGTCACGGAATGCGCGCAGAATCTGCGCACGTCTACGGCCAACTGGCCACTTGATCGCGTCGGGGTACGCCTGCAGCAGCGCCGAAGTGACGTCGTGGACGGCCTGCAATCCAATTGCCCTGCCGATGCCGAAGGCTGACGTCCCGCTCTCGTACGTCTCTCCTGACGCCCACCTGTACAACGCGAAAGCGATCACGTGCTCCACTGGCAATGGCATCCTATAGTGCGTCACCTTCTTCTCCACGTACGCGGCGCACGCAGCTACGATCTGACTGAACATGGCCATCGACATGCGCAACTTCTGGCATTAGTACTCGTCCGTCGCGTCATCACAGAGGCGGAGATCCTCCCATGTTCCGCCAGTCCGTCGTTTAATCCACCAACGCGGGGTCTGCCGCGGGAAAACGCCAGATGACAGCGCGGCACACAACTGGACGACTGCCTCACACGTGGAGATCCTCCCACGACGACAGCAGTGACCGCCATCGCCACCGCGTCGATCTCCTCTTCGCGCAGACGGTGCTGGCTGCCGCGAACGTCCATCTCTGGGAATCGTTCCGCCCCCACACCGTGACGCCTGCCACAGCCGCCGAAGACACGCCCGCTGCTCAGCCCTGCCGCAGGAGACCACGCACGCCAGACCCGTAGATGCGCCCGCTGTCGTACGCTGCCACAGGAGATGGCGTACGTCGGAGCCGACGACGCGCCCGCTGCCCCGCCGAAGGGTTTGGAAGATGGATACCCATGCCGAACGGTTCGCCAGTGCCGTCTTTTGTACGTCACACACGTCGCCTGGCCGTCCTCCGCCCCGCTGCCCTGCGTCCGCGAGGATTCAAATTTGAATTTTTGAAGTTCGGGGTGACCGCGCTTTTCACCCACCCCTCCTCACCCGCCCAAGGCCTCCGCAGTGTGTACCACGGACACCAGCCAGGACCCGACGGACATCGGCGATGCGGCTGTGTATACGAATGTGAAAACAGGCCGCGGGAGACCTTTTAGGACGAATCTAAAAGATGATTTTTAGGACTGCGTGTAACGACGCCGCACGAAATCCTAAAAAACCTTTAGGACTCGTCCAAAAAATTTTAGGATTCTTTTAGGAGTGTCTAACGAGACCCGAATTGCAAAATGATCGTGATTAATTTGCACCACAGTTTTCCTTGGTCCCATGTGCACCAGACAAGGTACTCGAAAGCGCCGCACTTGAAACGGAAGCAGAAGCGGCGTCTGCAACCCCTGCGGTGTCATTTCAGGAGGGCAGAAGGTCCTCTGGTCTGGGCAGTCCCAAGGGTCTGACACTTGAAGATTTTCCCTCCTCCTTTCTTTTTTTTTTTTTTTTTTTTTTTTTCCCTCCTTCTTGAGTTACAATTGGTGTCGAACCAGGCGGTAAGGGATCCTTTCAAAAAATCTTGATTTTTTTGAATTTTTAAATTCAAAATTTGGACCATTTCTTGATTTATGCATGGCATCCTTCCAAAGGGGCAGTTGTGTATATCATCTTGACAGATTGAAATTGACAGGCCAGTGGGTGGAGGCATCGTGGCACTACCCCGTGTCACAACATGGCTGATCCGTGGCCATCAATAGTCCGAGTAATCTAAGGTCAGAGGATTAGATTTCATGCCTGAATGGGGACGTAATCGAGGACAGGTGCAGAACATGGCAATTGATCAGCTTTTCTGCATCTCCGCATAAAACGCATCCAGATTCAGGTGCTTTATCCCATCCTCTTTGCCAGTGGGACCTCCACTCTGGTACTCCTTTTCTTTTTTTTTTCTGCATCCTGATTTTGTGTCCATCTGTTTCCCTCTTGACTTGAGCTCTGTTTTTCATAGCCTGATATTTGACCATCAGATTAGGATTTCAATTTGAACCCATGACCGTCCCAAAAAAAAAAAAAAAAAAAAAAAAAAAAAAAGTCGCGGTCCCATGTGTATATTGTTCGGCCACATGGGCTGGGAGCTTTGCCTCTTTTTTTTTTTGTGGGGGGGGGGTAACTACAGTCTTCCCCCGAATACAACGCACGGTCATTATTGCCGAATTTGGTGCATCTTTCGGTCTAAATTCAGCTATAATGACCGTACTTTGTATTCGGGGGAAGACTGTAGGGCGCAGTCACCATTCGGGTTTTAAATCCAATTCCTGCATCCCTGGAATACAGCACATCCCCACCCGACCCTAAAGCTGGGTTGTATACATTCACGATTTTCCTCGCTTTAACACACACAACATTCCTGAAATAGCGACTGAAATGCATTTTCAAATTTCAAACTGAAACTGTGGCAGCGCCCCAGTTTTCCCTTTTTTTTTGGGTTTGGGGGGTGCGGGGAGGGGGGGGGAGGGGTCGGTTGAGAGGGGGTTCTCTTTCTTTTGGTATTATGATTTTGCTCCTCTGCATCTGCATTTCAAAGTTTTGAAGGTGTATATGGATGGGTTCCGACTCGTCTGCTGTTTACTACCAAGTGGTTACATGTGTGTACCATTTGGCCACATGCATTTCAAACTTTTGGATTAGATCAAGAAAGGCAGGGCCTCTCGGAAGAGGTTGATTGGCCAGTATGCGATATCCTCACACATTACGGTCCTTGTAAGCTTTATCCTAAGGGGACATGCTCAGAAGGGGACTCTGGGATCGAAACTGGCCACAATACAGCTCCACATACATGCCAGTAATCCTATGTGATTCTATGAAGGATAAAGGAGGACGACAAGTGGGGGCCCGCAGTTGTAAGATTGGCCAATTATATCTCAAAAGAAAAACACTTGTTTAAATCTCAAAAGAAAAACACTTGTTCAGTAATCCTAGGTGATTGAGTCTTTGGATCGTTGGTATGGGCTTTTTCTGTGTTCTTGGCTTTCTGCAGGGATACGGACCGGACTGAGAGTTGAGGTCTGGTCTTTTTTCCCCCTTAAATAACGGCAGACACGGCAAGTTTCGAGTTCGTAAAGGCAAAAAAAACATGTGCCAGCAAAGAACTCAGGCGCCGACTTCGAAACGGCAATTTCAGTCGAGAAGTATCCGTTGGGCTGTTTTTTTTTTTGTTTTTTTTTTCCCCATCTGACACCACGGCCGACCACCCTGTAAATATGACACCAGAACCTGGACGCTCGGTTGTACTTCCGCAGTAGGAAGGCAGTAGAAAGTGGCTAGTGGGGAGTGGAGGGAGCGTCATTTGTCCTGCAGGAACCTTTGTTCCAGTGCCCGCGTTAGGAGCACTTAATGTTAACTGAGGACTCAGTACCTTCATTATTTGTTTGGCAGGAGGTTGGTCCCCGCGGGTCTCGACCCGTAAGGGAAACTGGGTAATGCTCCTAGCCTCCGGGTAGACTGTGAGGACCCCGGCCTCGTTATCAGTTTATAAGGGACGTTGGGCCCGGTTCCCAACACGTGCAGCTCCCCAC